GCACTTGAGAACACGAGATGCCACATTTTAGGCCCTCTGCGTGCACCTATGACAAACACACACGAGGCCATCCATGGTTGTTCCACCCAAGAAGCCTTGAACCAAGCTGAAAGAATGACAGTTTAATGGCAACAAAAAGAAATTGAGTACCCCCCTCCTAGCCACACTGAGCTTGCTTCCCCAGTTCTTAGGCTGACTGAAAGCAGCTGACAAATGCCCATTAGCTTCTGCGGGTTTCCAGATTTTCCTTCTCCTTTGGGCACCGCATTCGTAATGTTTTTCAGCAGCAGTCTCACTGAACTCGCGGATCATTGACTCACAGCTGAAGACTTGGCTTCACTATTTTTTGCCTTTGGAGGCCAGTTACAAATGGTAGGTCAGGTGCAATTCTACTGAAATGTGATCATCTGGTCAAAGCAGGCAGCCTCGGTTTTCACCAACTGAAGATTAATGGGCCTTACCTCAAAATAAATAACAAGTTAAAAAGTAACCAAACATTAATTTTGTTATAACTGTATGGAAGATGTGATTGGAAGAAGTTAGAGATATAAATGTTGGGCCTATAGGCAGACATCTAAAATTAGTGATGCTCTCGTCTACAGGGTTTCAGATATTATTTGAATGCTATTTCAAGGCTAACTGTCTGCAAGTTAGTTTATTAAATATTAGGACAAATCCTAAACAGCTTTTTAAATGCTTATCTATTTCAACTTCTCTGGGCAAGAGGATGAAAGCAACATCAGGCCCTTCATTTCTGTAAAGCACTTGCAGAGCCTCACATGAAAGACACTTTGTCAAACTAACTAACTTCAAGTCTTTGACTTTAGGTAACTCTCCTGCATAAAAAAAAAAAAACAAAAGCCATACAGTGACTTCAGAGGCAGCTGTAGTGAATGCAGGCTTCAGGATGTCATCTTTCAGTAGTATTTTTAAGCCAGAGACAGATTCTGAGGACACGGAATAAATGCAACCGATTTTGACAAGTTCTGCAGGTTCTCAGCTTCTCCTAGGATTTAACGCATAGACAAGAATACTAGGAATGTCTCTTTCTCTAGGATGTCCTGAACCTTGCCTTGAGTATGTGGATGTGTGAACTTCATTCTGTATTTTTCTTGAACATAAAAAGAACACTTAAACAGGGTCCTGCATGCCTGAATACCCCCAGACCTAGTTGCAACGCATGCCATGACAAGAACCCTCCTCTGATTTTAGACAGGTACATGGGGAAAGAAGACATGTCCTTTTTTTTTTCTCACTGCACCGCCTCAGAACAGTTTATTTCAGCACAAACTGAGGATCTCCCTTTTTATCTCCAAAGAGCAGCATATCGCACTACGCTCTGCAACAAAACTAGAATTTCCAAAAGCCCCCAGCACACCACACACTGCAGCCCATCCAGGGCTTGTCCAACGCTTGGTATGATGCCAGTGGATAGTCAACACAAAAAGGCTCAGTGTCAAAAGCAGCATGTGGAGGATTCAACAAGCAGCTCTCATTAGTGCCAACAGGAGCCTGGCTACTAAGCCTTCACACCTCTTTAGAGATGCTTCCTCTGTCTTTAATAGACATTTGCACCTACCTAGTCTGAAGCTGAGACCAAGCAGGCAAAAGTTTTAGCTGGGGAAAAAAAGTCTTAGCTGTTAGAAAGCTGGCCCTTCTCCAGAGCGGAGAGCATCTGGCCGCCAGCTGTGTTTAGAGGACAGCAGGCATAAGGAATAGATCAGGGGAAAATCTGAGAAACAAGTAGACAGTGCTGAAATTTGTCATGAAAAGAATGCCAGCCTTCCTCTGTGATGTCCAAAACCGTTGCCCTCCTACATTCCCCATCCTTTTCTCTTGCCAGCTCTCAAGCCAATTATTGGAAAATCACCCATTCAGGAGAACACAGATACCCTTTCTGGGCTTGGAAAAGGATCCAGCAAGGCTTTGGAGTAAAAAAAGCCTGGGATGTGTGGAAACTGGCAGCATGTGAGGCAAAGTGGAAATGTGAGGAAATTCTGGAGACTAAGGGAGGACCTTGTCGAGAGGCAGAAGGAAAGATGAGGCAGGGGCAGGATGCCTGTAAGTCCTCAAATATTACAGCAGTGGATTAGTATAAAAAAAGACAGATGGAAAGGAACCGAAACAGTCCTTCACTCATTACAGGCTGGAACGTTATGATTTTAAAAAAAAGAAAATCACAAGTTTTTCTAAGGATGTTGTATTCTATCCATTTCATCTACACTGGAGGCAATACTGTCCCTCAAAATTTGTAAATTATTGCAACTCATACAAAGACTAAAGAAGCAAAAGGCTTTTTATTCTCTAAGATGATAACACCATCTCTCTAAAAAATGCTAATAAAATGCTCTGCTTGAAAGAGCCTTAATCTGATAGGGATGGTATTCATGGGCACCCACTGAAACTCACACTGCTTTTTAGATTAAATTGACAACTGAGCACCCCCCCACCCCCCCCCGCCCCAGATTAATGGAATGAAGAATCCATGCGTGAAGCCACGTATAATAAAACTTGGAAGATTATGAAACAGGCTAGACCACAAGATCAGAATTGCAATTGATCTTGATGAAGTGGGGAAATAGCCCCAATTAAAGCAGAATAAATTTAATAAAGACAAGTTGAAAGAGTTGTACGTTGGAAGGTGTAGTAAACAAATGTACAAATAAAAATGGGAACTCCTCAGAAAGCAGCAGTGAATCACCCAGGAATTATAACAGAAGACAGACTAGATCAAAGTCAGCCATGGGATGTTCTTGTAGAAAATATTCCAGGATGTATTTTCTGATATGCTTTACATAAAACCACAGGTGACAGTTACCTCTGCTTTGCTTGTTACTGTATAAAATCCTTGCTGGAATAGTGCATTTTGGGGAAACTGGGGAGCTATGAGGAGAATGACAGCAAAAATCAGAGACCTAAAAAATAGAAGCAAAGGAACTAGGAAAGACTATACTAGTGAGGAAAGCAGCACAATTCCTACCACACATAGAAATCTTCTAAGAAGATCTTGTAATATCATCTGGTCTTCCCGTCTATCAGGACTTGAAGGAAAAGTGGCGTGATTTGCAGTAAAGAAATTCCAAGCAGTCTCCTAGGAAAACCTTCCGATTCCGAAGGTGGTGAAGATCATGGATCCCGATCACCAGATGTTTCAAGAGTCTGCAAGCTGCCCATTGTCTGGCATGGTTCAGCTGGACCTCACCCAGCCTCACAGCAGGAGAGGTGGACTAAAATCACAGTTTTTAAACTCTGGTCTGTGGATTCACAAAGGCCTGCTGACTACTTCCAACAGAAATGAATGCCAGGGTCATATAGGGGTTGGCTTTGTTGGCAAAAGTGACGGGGGTCACAGGTGAAAAAAGAATTGAAAATAATGATTTTTTTTTTTTTTTATAAAGTTCCTTTCAGCTATACATTTATGACTTTGGGATTAGCAGTGTTTTGAAGGGCAAAAGTTATTCCTTTATAAATCAATAGCCTCAATCCCCTCCTGTAACAGCTTTGAACAATAGCTTCTTGGGGCTTGTTCTCTCCTACCATTTGCTAGACACCAGCAAAGCAGATCTCACGGCAGCAGTGGGTGCCATGCTTTCTGTCATGCTCAGCCATCCAGATTCACAAGCCCCTGAAAGAGCAATGGGACACACAAACGCACAGGTTGACGCAGTTCTGCTGGCAGACGTACGCAGTGTGTGTGTGAAGGCAGCTGTACTCTGTCGCTAGAGCCTTTGGCTCATGTTTGCCTTTGAGCGCCCCAACACGGTGACCACTCAGTTCACATACAGCCACCAAAGGACATATCAAGCCCTTTATCTCTGAAAGAAAACCAGTAAATGTTACCACAGATACTCTCAATTCATCAGAAGAACAACTAGCACAGAGTTATCAGTGTTTCCTTCCTAATGAGTCCCAGGCAGGTTCCTACAAATGCTCAAAAGACATCGCCTTCCAGGGGCAGCCTGTGCGCACAGGACTCTATACCCCCTCACCAAAGCACAGTTAGTATTTGAGCTAGAAACGGACACAACGCTCGTGGCTATCATTCTAGCATTAAATACCAGACTGCCTATCCACAGGTCTACCTGTGGGCATGTTTCCCAGAAAAAGCTGTTTTGCCTATGGATATATGCGTATGCAACTCCTGATGACTTCGTCTGGCACTACACATTGTACACAAGGGAAGAATTTTAGTATCATGATTATTGTTTGAAAAACTTTGCTATTTTAAACCACGAAGCTGCGGGGTGAGTCTAGTTATCATTGGCATGGAAGGATGGGTTTCCATGGATGAGGAGGCACACCAAACGACAACAAGCACCCCTGCGTGTTCCTGTTGCATCAACCATGGTCTCACTTCTCTGAGACTGCAACATTCACACAGACGTTGCCATTACCTAAATGTTCCAGACAACATCTTATGCGAACATCTACTATGAAGAAAAAAAAGTCTAATTGACTGACATGCTGTGTCTCTGCGACATTAGTGGCAGTTTATAGACATTTTTGTAATTTGTGGCAGAAACTGTAGAAGCTTTAAAAGACCAAGCACACAGGAGGATTTACACCTCAGAGTCATAAAACAGCTTCCAACCATGTTGATAACTAAAGCCAAAACCGTATTCTCTGAGCATGCCAAAACCTATCAACATGGAAGAGCACCCGATGCAGACATTTCAACAAAGAAAGAGGAGGTTAATATGCACTGTCAAAATAAACCATCTAAAGTCTATGAACTGGGCACAGATTCTGAATGGCATGCTAGAAAATAAATATATTAATGTCACTTTGCCATGGAGAAGGCAACATCTTTGCCCGCTTCTTGCTGTGGTTTTCAGAGACAGAGCATCAAGGAATGTTGTGGCACATAGCAGATTTGTCTTGCTAACAGCACGCTGCAAAATAAACAAAGCTTTGACATTAAATCACACCCACCACCCCACCCCACCCAAACGCTGCATTGTAGATAACCTGTACATTCTCAGGATACAGTAAAAAATCATTCTATAGTACATATTTAATTATAAGTTAAAAAAGTCTAACTCAGACACAATCTCTGGCCAGTAGCAAAGTATTGACACATTACTGAAGTAAAGATCTGTTATTATCCCTTCGCTGTAACAAACAGAAATCAGCATCTTGAAAAGGGTCTCCGGGGATATCATATCACAATCAATCACACCAAATAAAAAAATATGCTAATTTCACAAATGAAGTTTGACAAGAAGCAACACTGCGTTTGTCTTGGTGAAACAAAGCACGAACATAACATTTCACAGGTACAGTTACCATGCAAATGCATGTTGAGTTTGTAATTGTTTTTAACCCCAAATCACAAGTAGCATGCAGTTCTCCTGCCCCCCCAACTATTGTATTAGAGATAGTCTGGGTAATGTACCTCGTTGGTGTAACCATAGCCTGTTAGGCAAGATTATACCATCCTAGGAAAGAATACAAGCAAACCTTGATCATATGTATGTTTACACAATGTACATTTTACCATTTAAAAAAACAAAACATGTTACATAGATTCTCAAACACAGCTCTGTCGAAAATTAAATTTTAAGCTTAAGAAATAGTTTTTAAACTACAAGGCCACCCCATTATTTTTTATGAACAATTTAAAAAGTTCCCACCCCTAAAAATCTGCCAGTATATTACCTCAGCTGTAACAGTCTTACCCACTCTCTAATACAGTTGATCTTTGCTCGACAGCAATAACAGTTATTACATTTCTTAAATGCATGAGATAATGGACTCTGAGATAGATATAGTTCTTAAATGTGTAACACTGGAACAAATCCACCTTAAATGATTAATCGGTCAATTTGGGTGTTCCCCGGCGCCACCGCTCAGGCAGGGGCTTCTGCCTGATGTGAGTTCTGGCTTTTGTTGGCATCAAACTCCATGACCACGTGTGTGTTCAGCATTTGAGTACAACAGCAATTCACTGGATACTCTTGTACGCCATTTGCTCAAAAACACGAAGGAGCTTTTTTTCCTGTATTCCCTCATCCAAACAGTGCTGCAGCCCCAGCACAGCACCGTTGGCCAACACAGAACTATCTAGATGCAAAGTAGAATTTTTAATTTTTTTTTTCCAGTCGTTTAAGCAACTGCAATGGGTTTAAGCAACTGCAACAGCAGACTTAACTTGCAGGGTCTTTATTGGAGGGTTACCGTCTTCCTCAGCTTTACACAATGGAGCCCTTTGAAGAAGATAAATGAATTGACTGAATCCTTGTGGCCAACGTCCTCTGTAAGTCCTGTAGTACATTTTGACCAGACGTTTCTCCGTTCTTGTCATACAACAGCTGTTTGAAAGCTTCGTTTTCAATGAGGACCATCATATTTTTTAGAAAGTAGCCTTCACAATATGAAGATAGTTCTGTGACTCCGAGAAACTACAAAAAATGAGAGAAAGATAACCATTCTGATGAAACCCGCTCAGCATTATACAGTGCGTAAGAGCTGCACAGAGCTGCACACAAACAAATACACAAGCTAAGTCTTTCAGACAGGCACAGTAATGCTTACAGATTTATATGCGTAGAGGGGAAGGACTTAATCAAACAGTATTTTACGCTTGCTGATGATTCTGGTAACAATTCCATGTTATAAGGCCCTGGTTATTAAGGAAACAAACTTATAGGGGCTAAGTTTTGCTCCCTTGGAAATTGGTGGGAGTTTTACCACAGAGTTTACTAGACCCATGAATTCATGGTAGAAGTTACACCCTAAAACTATAGGTTTGGGAAAACATACTACAGACCAAGCTTCATGAATGCCATCCTTAGCAAGGATTGGACATGACTACAGAAACCTGTCATACAATGTTTCATGCCTTGAGGAATCTTTGGAGGAGAAATGGAGGTTTGTAGAGCACATGGTTTGGGGTTGCCAGTATCTCCCTTACATTGGACACAGTGTCAGAGTAATAGGCAGGGATACTGTAATGTGCGAGCAACCCTTAAATGTGACTGAAAATGTATAAGCAAACCTTAAATGAACCAAACTGGTCATTTGACAGGTAACCCGTACTGGTCATCACCCACTGGCTAGATCCTGTGGTCATACAAAGACTATAGCCATGATATTCCAGTACTGGTGTAATTATAAGCTATGCAAGTGCAGAGAGCAGTGCTCAGCCCATCCTCCTGCCCAAGTAAGCTGCTGCTAAGTCTAAGCTCTGAGTAAAGCAGGGACCTTTGGCTGCGAGGTACAGCCTGAAGGGCCACAACTGCTGGGGCACTGCATGGGTTTGGGTCCAGACTGGAACAACTACACAGCAGTGTTGCCCACCACCACCTTATCTTGTTTAGAATGAAAACTGCTAAAAAAAAAAAAAAAGAAAAAAAAAAAAGAAAAATATACAGATTAGGGCTAGGTACAACCTGTCTTCCTGAGGAAAATGAATGAATTTAACTTGACTTCAAACTATGCAAGTTTTCATCAAATTATGAGTGCATTATTTTACACCTGGATGTGGCAGCATATGTGTGAATCTGCATTCTTCTCTGAAACACCATTCATCCCTATTCATTACTTCAATATATAAAGGAGATTGAGGAAATAATGTACTTTTCTCTTCTTTTTCAGATCTGTTCTGAGGCCCAGATTGCAATCTGTGCAACTGCTGAGTGTTTTAGGCATATATTAGAAACTCCAAATGATTTTGTCGGGAGCTTGGGCACATGCATGTAAACACAACTGATATCTAGCAGTAACTAATCAATCACCATTATAAATCCAATTTTCCCAGTTACTTAAGTTCTTTCTGGAAGTAAAGAACAGTGACAAAGGCTTTGGAAAATGAAACCCTTAAAGTGAAACTAATCAAATGACTGCCTTTGTAGATGTTGGGCCCAATGCTGTTTAATATCTTCCTAAGTGATCTGGATGATGGGCTCAAGTGTACCCTGATGAAGTTTGCCAATGATACCAAACTGTGTGGGGAAGTGGACACTTCAGAAGGGAAAGCCACCCTGCAGGAAGACCGGGATAGGCTGGAAGAGTGGGCTAACAAGAATCATATGAAGTTCAACAATGACAAGTATAAGGTCTTGCACTGGGAAAACATAATCCAGGAGTGCAGCACAGGCTGGGATCTACCTGGCTGGGGAGCAGCTCTGTGGAAAGGGACCCGGGGGTCCTGGTGGACAGCAAGCTCAGTATAAGTGAACAGTGTGCTGCTGCGGCAAAGCAAGTCAACAGGACGCTGGGTTGCATCAACAAGAGCATCATCATCAGAGATAAGTCATTACCCCACTCTACTTAGCGCTTGTCAGGCCACACCTGGAATACTGTGTTCAGTTTTGGTCCCCACTACGCAAAAAATATGTGCACAGGCTGGAGAGAAGGGTCTGGTCCAGAGAAGGGCCACAAAGATGATCAAAGGACTGGGAAGCCTGACATATGAAGAAAGGCTGAGAGAACTGGGTTTGTTCAGTCTTGAGAAAAGAAGGCTTAGGGGAGACCTTATCACCATGCTCCAGTGTTTAAAGGGTGGCTAAAAAGAAGATGGAGACTCCCTTTTTACAAGGAGTCGCACGGAAAAGATGAGCAGTAATGGGTACAAGTTATTCCTGAGGAGATTCCAATTGGACACAAGAGGAAATTTTTTCACAATGAGAACAATCAGCCATTGGCATAGTCTCCCCAAGGAAGCAGTGGATTCCCCAACATTGGATACTTCTAAGATTCAGCTGGACAGGGTGCTGGGCCACCGTGTCTAGACCATGCTTTTAGCAAGAAAGGTTGGACCAAATGATCCTTGAGGTCCCTCCCAACCTGGTATTCTATGATTCTGTGATTCTGTGTTTCAATTTTCAGAATGGAAAGCCCACAGGGATGCCACAGATGATTTTAATACTCTCAATTCAGCTTTTAAATTGTAAACGTAAATCCACATTGTCTCACCTTCCTTCCAGTACTTCACCTCTTTAACCCAGGGTCTCAATCTCTTGTTCCTACAGCTCCTCATCCTGCTAAACACTGTTCTACAGCCTAGGATCTCACCAGAGATAGTTTTCCAAATCTGTCTCACTTCATGCTGTGCTTCCACCAGTTAGTATCTTTCTCTCAGTCATGATGACAAAGACTGTGCTCCCTGTGTCTGTGGGCCAACCTGCTCGCACATCCCCATCTGGAAAGGCAGATCTCGGCATCACCTGAGCTCCTGCAGGTACAGCTGAGCTTACAAAGTGGCAAGGACTAGAAGCAGTACCTACAACAGGAGCAAGTTACTCAAAACCTGCTCCTGGCTGATGTGGTGGTTTCTGGCTTCAGTGCCTGCTCACCTTACTCCCATCCTCATTGCGGTCTAACATGAAGTTCTTCCACACTTCAGAGACTGACATGGAAAGGCAGACGGTCGGCTGCGCTTGAACTGCTTGTGAGCTCCCCTGGCTCAGCAGGACCATCTGGCCTCTTCACCGACATACCATTATCTCGCATTCACACAACAAACAAATGAAGCTACTGTGTGATGGAAGCACTCTGGGCAGAACAATCCGTGCTCCGATAATCACCTGCGCATCACACAGACCGGGAGCAAAAAGATGGAGCATCTTCTCTGCTCTGCAGACAGCGTAATAGAGAAGTATCCGAACTACCTTTAAACGTGCAAGTTCAGGTCCTGGAAACCTTTAACCTTTAAGCAGTATGAAGCTTAGCCCTGGTAATTTACTGGAGGCAGGGTAAATTAGCCCATGCAGAGCTCTAGGGTGATGTGGCTTAACTAATTCCAGAAGTCAAGATTTCATTCACAGCTAGCCTGGCTCTCTCTGCAATGCACTACCCGTGTCAGTGCAAACACGACCCTGGCTGTAAAAACCTCTCAAGTACAGCATCTCCACAGCCTCCACTGGGAGATGCAGGCACAAAAAACTTGTAGGCTGGGGCCTTTACAAACAAACAAGGAACTGGATTTAGCCACTGGATTTGTTCAGTCCCACCATCAGCAGTGTAAAAGTCCCTCAGACAGGTCTAAAGCTCCATGTGAGTACTTTCTTCCATGGGGATGTAAATAACAGCCGTGTTTCACAATTCAAAGAAAACATGTGATTTTAAAACAAAATTATTAATTTTACTTTTAGTAACAATAATAGAAATCGAAAAGTTCTCACATGAGCTAGAAGAAGATAAATCAAATATTTTTCAAAAGATTCCTGCACTGCAGATTTTTTTCCTATTACCTACAGGTATATCTCATTTCTTATTCATTTTATAGGTGGAACTTTATGCTATTTCAAACACTGATTGCATGTTGTATGTACATCAAGACCTAACATTACTACTTTCTGTAGGAAATACCTGATGATGGGAATGGAGGTCAGATCTGCAGGGGTTTGGAGCAATCTGCAGGATTACTCTGTTCAATCAAACCTCCATGTCACGCTGCACCATTTTATCTTTCGTATAGACCATGTAAGTTATAGAAAAAATCATCTAAGGAATGGCTTAAAAATATTTCATTGCAACTATTTGTGTATCATTTCCATCTTCCAAGTGAAAGTCTAACTACTAAGCACACAAGAGAAGGAGAAAAACTGAAACTAATCAACGTGGCAACCACCTCCATCAATGAGCAAAAATAGGTTTTCTAGGTGAAAACATGCCATGCCTTTAAGCCTAATGACTTAGGCCCCCTCACAAGCTAAGCAAATAATTTGATTCCAATAAGAAGCTGCGAATCTCTCCTCTCCAAGACATAAAATTCTCATTACCATCCTTGCATGGCTCTGAAATGTTGCACTTTGACAACAGGGCATTTTTATATATTGACAAGCTGTCACCAGCATTGAGTATATCACCCTAGTGGGCTTCAGGCAGGAGGAAACGGGAAATCGTAATGGGAAAATGCAGCTTGGAAGGTGAAAGAGAGGCGTCTTATTCACTTAGGTGATTCGTGTTGAATAACTCAGCAGTTTGGGTTGCCATTATAAGGGATAGGTCTGCCACACGGTGGTACACTCAAATCAAGTTTGAAGAGCTTAGGGAAGGGGGTGAGAAGTTGCCACTGATGCTCTTACACTATGTGATTTAGAACTGTCATTAAACTAGGTACCCATTAGCCAGTCAGTCCCAGTAAATGAATGACAAATTTTAAATACATAATAAACGTACTAAGCATAGGATATATGTATCATTACTTATCATAAAACTGAACTACGAGTATGATGACAGACATATAACACGCGAGCATATGTGGTTATTTTTACCTTGGCATGATTATAAATATCCACGCAGTTTTCTGTATTAATGCTTTTTGCACAAATGATCTCACAGTGTCGTTGTAAAGCTTCAAGTTGGAAAAATTTAGCAGCAGAGAGAAGCTAAAAAAAAAAAAGCAAGGAAAAAAGTCAAAACTGATGAGCAATGCAGAATCAGAGCTTGCTTCTTCAGTGTTTAATTGTATTTTTTTCTCTGCCCCTCCTTCAGTTAGCATGAAAGTACTGACAAACAGTCAGAATGAGAAGGTTGCTTCATTGCTTCAACCCTTTGCAGTCCCCTCTAGATCACACTGTGGGAAGCTGCACACAGAGAGGCCACCACAGGTTGCCCAGATCCACGTGCTGACTTTGGAATGGGCTGAGGGTGTGAGAGAGAAAAAGGAAACGGCAGCTTGGAGAGCCTTTGGTCACTTTGCAAACATGACTCTGCAAGGAGGGATCTGCAATTATATTCCAGGAAAAAACGGTTCCTGTTCAACTGCTCCCCAAGCTCTGGCTGAAACAGAGCACCTGGGCTGGATGCGGAGATGTCAGCAGAAGGACCAGGAGAGTATAGAGGAATTCAGATCAGATTACGATGACCACCCTGGGTAGTCTTAAAAATCTAGAGAGGCAATAAACCTCCTATCTGTCACCTCAGCAGGCTCGAGGAAATGGAGTCAGATCTCCATATACTCCTTGCTCTAGCTCGTGAGCAGCAATAAGGTCATATCTAGGCTATGGCACTGAAACACCGTCTAGCTCCACGTTACTCCAAGGAGTGGGCACACAGCAAGATGTAAAGGTCATGTAAAGGCGGGAACAATATAAAGGTGGGAACCAGCTTGGTGCGAAGCACTGCCTAATTAGCACTCTCGTCAGTGTCACGTGTCTATCGCTGCACTACCACGGCTCTCCTGCCCTCAGGACTCAAGCTGACCTCCCTGTTTGGCCCTGCATCCACCCCATGGATGTACTACCTGGACTGGCACTGTCCTGGGACCTCTACAAACCACTGTACACTGTGGGCAAGACCTGAAGCCTGTGGGGTCAAAATAACTTAAATTTTGAGTTCTGCAACTGATTTCAGCAGTGCTAAGATTTCCCCTATTACCCCCTTCCTGTCCTTTTGCAGCAGGGAAAAGGAATTTCATTTTCTGTCTTTCCATGGTAGGTCATTGTCTCTGGCTCTCTGTCCTGGCTTAGGAAGCAGGCTGGGGTTCGTTGTTGCTTGACACCTTGCTCTAACCCAGCTAGATCTGTTCAAGTGTTTAGGCATTTATATGGCCCTTATGATCTCGGACTGCATGACAAAAAGCTATCCTGTGAATCCCAAAAGGGCTCTCAGGCCACTAGGTAGGAGCACTAGGGAACAAAACCCTAAACTTTCATGACATTATTCTGACTTCTCCTATGCAGTCCACTCAAGCTCTGCTTTAATCCCATAAATAAATCCAAGTGCTGGAAATCTGCAGTGCTGATGTGATAGCAGCCAGCTGGCCCCAATTATGAATTGCAGCAAAGATTTCTGTGGAGTATTTCTGGTGCTTCTTGTTATCATATTTGTAATAAGGCAAGTTGCTAAATGCAGTTTTGAAAGATAAAGCCAAATTCTATTCCAGCTGCCTCTGTGGCTCAAGCAGTCACATGGTGGTTTGTAATTACTTTAAACTGTGAGGAACCGTGGCCAGATTTGCTATCAACAAATCAATCAATCAGTCATACATTCTTGAGTCACAGAAGTTTTGAGACTCACAAAAGTAGAGCAAGCAGCCAGCTGAACTGCAGCACAAGCTTTTTAGCAGCCTAGGTGATAACACACGCATCTCTATAAAGCTGTTGCACGGCCTAGTCTAAGACTCCTTATTTCAGAAAGGGTTAGAAATTCAGGAGCTTCTTTCAAAACTATGAAATAGCGAATCAGTGACTTTCTCCTATAAAGCTCAGAAAATCAATGTGGGTATGCTTAGTTAAAAATCCACTGCCCGCACTGGAGAGGGATAATTTCAGTCCTGACCAGTTCCATCCTCTGGCTGCCAGCAGGGTTGGTACAGATGTCCCTGTACCCATCAGAATTGATTCACCCTGGCCACTTGTACCCCAAAGAAGAGTCGCTCCCAATTTCTGGTTAGCAGTACTTTGGTAAAAGCCAAGCCTTGCGTTGGTGCCCCAGACAGTAGTATCATAAGGACAGACTAACTAATGTAGGCAACAATAAAACATCATGGTGGCAGACTATAATCTGTATACTGATGATTACCAGCTGCTTAAGTAGCTCTGATTTTAGTATTTACTGTCCTGTATTCTTTTTGGCTGCCATAATTTGGTGATTGTCAATGGGAAAACTTCCTGAATGACTATCAAGAATTTGCTCAAAAAATCTCTTAGTTCTGTTAAGTTGGACAGATCATAGTCATTAGTCATTAGATTGATCATAGCTGGCAATGATAGCACACGGTATTGGCAAGAGGATGACTTAACATTCATATAGGTTATGGATGTGTGGCTACACTGAAGGCTCAGTCAGCTCCAGTTGGCTTGGTTTGGCCTTCGCAAACGGGCACAACGGCACTGGATGTTTTACATGCAGTGAGAAAGGGGCAAAGAAATCTATCTCAGGGAGCAGCTTACGGTTTTATTCAGACAACTTGACAGTCACATGCCTGAAACTGAACTGAAGTGTAACTCCAGTGAGATTTCTCCCACGGTTCAAGCCAGGTACATGCTCAAGAACCCTCCCGAGTGAGGAACCAAATTGGATGCTTTTATGCTGCTGAGATAGGTCTGGACATGTAAACCTGAGCTAATAAACCAAAAGTAAGCATGTGGCAGAGAGAAGCTGACTGGCCCAGCTGGAGCACAGCACTTCACCTAATGGGCTGAGAGGGAGAGGATGGTGTACTATGCTGCTGGGAGTTGCTTCCAGATTTTGGTAACAGCAGCTTTGCATTTCCTTGAAAGAGCCTCTCAAAGCATCTAACTAGGTATTTTTATTTCAGATACCTTTTTTGCTTGATGTTCGTAATTTTTCTACTCTTTCTTCTCTGACAGTCAACTTCGTACTGGCAAAAGTTACCATAATAGGTGACCAACAGAGAAGGAGACTGAGTGTTTCCCACAGGACTGTGGACAGCCTGGGCACTGCTGGTGAGGCAGTGCTGGCTCTTACAGGAGTGCTCATAGCTTGCCCAATGGTCATGTGCCCTTGGGTGAATGGTACACAGATCACTTAGCATTGCTCCCACTGCAATTAAGATAAATGTCTCTTACCTCCATAATTTCATTATTTTTAATCAGGAGTGACTCTGCACCTCCATAATAAAGATACTGCATAACCAGCTGTAATAAAACAAAGGGAGTGTTTATAAAAAGCAGTCTAAGACATCAGGGAACAGGGAGTGATATAAAGATTGCAGGCAATACCCAAGGCTCTCCAACACCACTAAGGATTTGTAGATAAAACTGGCCCAGACCTCCTGATTTAAAGATATATTTGCTTACTCTCTCTCCGTCTGCATAGTTCAATGTTTCCTTCTCACAGGTAGTCTAACGTCTCAACCCTCACCAGCCACACTGTCCAGACTTTCTGGTGAGCTCCAAACAGTTTCCAGGAAGCTGATCAATTCATTCTGAATTTTCAATGTATTTCCTGGTATGTTCAGTACCTTATTGATTCAGGAAAATATAGGATATATAATGGTTATTCCCTTATTACTTCCCTGGCAATGGCACCCTCATCTTCACTCAGCTGTGTGGGCATGCACAGATGATGAGAAAGAGTCAGGGAAGCTTTGCACTGTAATATGAGGCAGCTAAGATCCCTCTGCAGTGAACTTCCATCAAGCCTGAAGTTATTGTAGGCAGCTGGGAATTATCTGCAGCGGTAACAGTCGATACATGGAATTGTCCAAGCTCCGATCAAGTAAAGGGAATTATATAGCATATATATGCTACAGATACAAAAAACAAGCTCTGTATTTTCATGGCAAGAAGAATGATTGAACAATACTGCTAACTCTGTTTCTTCCAAGCCTGTCCATTAAATACAGAAAGGGCCCAAAAGAGAAAAAGGAGTAAGTGCTTTACCTTGACATGCACTGCTTTGTCTGCATAGCCCATGTAAGCAAAACATGTGCTACTGTATCTGGTTGGAAACGACATTTCCAATCAATAGCACTCTGCAGCTTAGTGTATAAACGGACATGAAGCCTGTGTTCATGAAACCACTACTCTGAGCTATGTGTTTATTAAATACATATGTACTAATTTGGACAGGGCACGTATGATGTTCCTGTTGTATGTTCCATTCAAATTCAATGTATAACTGACTTTACCTGAAAGATGGGGTACTTCACATAGTTGATCTCAATACAAGTACTATCAGATGACGGCTTGCTAGACAGCAATGCTTTAAACCTAAATAAAAAGGAGCAAGATTGAAACACTACCCCAATTACCCCTGTGAAAAAGCATGGCAAAGTAGGAGGACAGCATCAGCTCTTGCAAAACAGTACACTTGAACAGATTTGTCATCAAAAAGCATCAAGATTTAGACACTGATATAAAATAAAGTTCAAACTAAAAGGAAGAAGCCTCTCTTTTAGGAGATTTCAATTTGAAATATTGGAAAAATACATCTAATATCACAACAGAATAAAATATACATAGGAAATTCAGAATCTGTAATGATGCATATTACAAAACCAAAATATTTCTTTTCCTTTTTTTTTTTCCTTGGAGGCAACATGATCTTTTAGGAAGACCTGCAACATTTAAAAACTGCACACCTTCTTTTTGAAGCAGATATATTTTGGCCTATGTTCATTATGCTGCTTTAAAATAACATTTTGGAACAAAATATTAAAAGAACTACATTAAGACTTTCAACGCTTCTATGCAGGCTCAATGCAATTGTGTAAGAAGAGGCAAGAGAGAAAACTGGGTAGGCTACAGCTCTCTGATTATCAAAACCTGAAATTTAGACACAAGTTTCAGGAAGAAAAAACTTCTTAAGCTAATAATAGCAGATTTATGTGAGACGTACATACGTAGCAATCTGTTTCTCAAAACCAGACATTCCCATTTGATCAGAAGGTGAAAATGGGAAATGCGCTGTCCGAAACATCTGCCCTCCTCCTTCCTCTTTTTCATAATTCAGCTGACCTTCTAGCAGTAGTGCAAAGCTTGGCTTATCTATCAAGACCAGCATTTGCTGGATGGTAACCTTTTCCATATCATGACTGCATCTTGTTAATTAAAATATGGATAACAATTGATTTGCTTTTAATAGTGTCAAACTCTCTTATGAACACAATTTAGTAGGTTTAAAGCTGGAGTGTGGAACATGTTTGTTCCTCTACTAGTAAGTTCTAAACCAAAATACCCATTTCTTAGTTGAAGGCAGGGTCAGATACTGCAGCTGCTTTATGCGAATCTCTTTACTTTGTGCTCTAGGTTGGCACCATGGCTAGCATCAATTCCCACATTGCTCAAACTACCCAAACTCAGTGACTTGTCCTTGCCACATCTTGAAATAAGCCCTTAGGGAGGGCCAGCTGCATGTGTTTAAAAGCACACCTTCAGTTATAAGGCTGTGTACAAATAAGGATTGTGAGCAACTTTAAGGTTGGGTTGAGCTGGGTGACCCAGGTCCAGCCTTCTGAGCAGAGGGAACAGACCATAAATACTGCCTTTGGATACAGTATGATATGTTTTATAGATATTTAATTTTATTTTTAAAATGTCAAATGCGGTCAATGAATTGTGCAATAGTAACTTGGTTTTCCTGAAGACTGCCTACACTGATGCAAGGCAGGATTTATCCACTCACAGGATAAATGATTATTAAGAATCAAAACATTAAAACTCCTCTATGGATGCAGCAGCGAGCTCCATGCAAATGTGCCTCAGTGAAATGAAATCAGATGCAATGGCCAGAAGCATGGATCATTTACAGGGTGGGAACCTAGTGATGGGAGCACTTGTTAAACATCCTGCAGATCGACAAGAAACACGCTGTTGAGATTTTCTGCTTAGGAAAAACTTGAAGATTGAGCCATTAGCCCTCAACAAATCTTAACAGCAGGAACAAAACCACAAGATCAAATTCTGTATTTGTTAAAGACCAGAAATGTCTCTATATCTTACCTTGGTGATGCAGTAAATAGCAACACTCTGTGTGCGTAAAATGGTCTTCCTTCCACCAGAAATGTAACATCTGACATCTCTTTATTGTTAAGAAAATGGGGATCTAGAATCACAAAAGCAAGAAAAATAAAGCCAATAATTTAGTTTGGAAAAGGTCATGAACAAACACAGTATTTTCCTGTTTTGACAAAAGACAACAGTAGTGTAAAAGGATATTGTTTTTAATGAGTAAAGCCCATAAAGCTATTTTGGACAGCCTGAGACAGAAGCCCCCCAGACAGCCACATGGAGTTCAGATGAAGGGAATTCAAAGCTTGAAAGTCTGTGAGGACCTTTGCTGAGATGACAGCCAGCCATCCCCGCCGTGCAGAGCTGGCACAGCCTCCCAGCTCTGCTGCCCAAAGCAAACTGAAGCGGAAGAGACGCCTATGCTCATTCATACCCTATTACGCCCCTCTCCCTGTGTGGTGAAGCCCTTGTGCCAGTGGGAAGAGGGCCCTTGAAAATGGCTGGGGTCTTCTCTCAGTCACATTAAAACAACCCAGGCTCTGTCAGCAGGGCTGGGAGGGCTGTGCCCCCGCGGCATCACACACAGCCAGCCACGGTGGTTTGAGATGCGGACAGACATTTGGCTCTGGGCCCTAAGCTTGGATCTCAGCCTAATTAGTAACACAGACAAATCTTTGCAGATTTACAGTCCCATTCTAACGCACCTGATGACCCTCCTGTTTGCAGCAGGAGTTTCAGGTCAGGCTAAGCTTGGGGGCCTTCTTTTTTCTAGTTCTGCCTTTCCAATTCAGGTTTTTCTCTGACTTGTGCCCCACCAAGCACCCGGCCTGCGATGCAGACTTCCCACAGCTCTGCTTGGAGAACCAGTGAGTATCTTCAAGTCACGCTTACCTAGACGAGAGGTCTGCTTGCGCTTAATTTCAACGAGCTTTGGAATAGGGTAGGGTCCATAGCAATGAGTGAAAATGACAGAGAGCTGCTGGCTGATCACTTCATTCTAAGCAAAAGAAAACAAATATATGCAATGTAAGCTTAGTATGCAAGATAAGATCAGTATGCAAAGGAGATGTTATGTTGTTCTCAAGAGCTGCCTGTTTTGAAGTCAGAATGTGATCGCTGAAGCTTTATTAAAAAATCAGAGTTTAGAATTATCAGTATTTGTTAGAAACTGCAATCCTCATTTACTTGATTGCTGTCTCCTGTAGGAGTAAGGTAAAATGAAAAGTCCTCTCCTTGGACCAGAGGTCTTCTTTCCCCAACAAACTCCATAGACCCTGTCCCTCTGTAGAAGCAAAGCTCCTTTACAATAGTGATTTACTTTCATTTGCAAACTTAATGTACTGGAAAATGACTTTTTCTTGCTCTTTAGAAAATGCTCATCTGTCATATTTTAGAAACCCAGAGCTACAAACAGATATAGCTGCACAGCCTCCAATCATTTTCTAAGCACAGCAGTCTCACAAACAGACCCTCCCTTACAGAGTGACAGAAGCATCACAGTCCCTGAATCTCCTCATTCAATCCCAAATGTTTCATTAATGTGCTTTTACACTTCTGGCACTGGCCTGGGCACCACTGCCCTGAGGAAGCCACCAGACCTTCACAGAACCAGGTCTTGTCCCTGACCCTACCAATTTCTGCACAGGTGCGGAGGCAAGGCACCCGCAGGACGCTTTCCTAAGTGCCTAAGCAACTTGAGTATTCGTATGCCTAAGCTGCAAGGATGATGAAATAGATTTAGTGCTTGACCATCTAAGTCACAGCTGAAAGCAGGACTTAAAACCTTTTGCAAATTCTATCCCACTCTTTGCTGGTAACCAGAGCAGGTTTAGCCAAGTCCAATGGTGCCACACAGCTAATTCATGCCAATGTCTTTTAACTACCATGTTGGCTGGAGACACCCTTCCACACCAGGAAACGGCAAAAAGGTGAGGCACTTAGATATGAAAGTGTCCAAGGCCCAGGAAATAAGCAGGCAAGGGAGAAAAATAATCTTAGTATAAAAATTTGAAGAGTGTAGATGTTATACCAAAACTATCTCCAGGGTTACAGAGCAGAAATTGAAGCTTTCCTTTCTCTAAGCGCATTTCAGCTCAGTTCTAAGAGCGGTGCTCCTTAAATCCCACGAGGGATGAGGAGGAGTGGCAGAGATCCTGTAATGAGTCCCTTACTGCATCTAATCAAACCGGGTGGGAAAAGGGTAGAGCTGAGCCCTCACAGGCACACACTGATGTCAAAGGAAATTACACGCGCTTGCCTGCAGACAGGAGTTGGCTCCTATTACTACGTCAGATGTAGCATTAAAAGAAATGCTAAGATAAGAGAAATACTAAGAGATACCATTTAGCACGGCACAGGGACCAGCCCTTGGAGAGGAGCTCACCGCTGTGGCTCTGAGGCAAGGAGGACGTCCTGCACTGGGAGCATCTCTCTGTTCAGCATCTTCCAGCCAGAGCTCTGCAAAGCACTTCACAAAGGGAGTGAATCACAGGGCGAAGAGAAAAGGAAGATTTAAGGCCAGATTTATAGAAGGAAGTGACTCAGCCGCTGGGAGGGCTTGCAGGGAGAGCTCTAGACAGACAGGGCAGAAAGAGCAATTGCTTCTCTGCTCAGAAGGACTGTGCCGTAGCACCGTGGCCAACTGAGTCAGCCAGGGAGGAGTGCGTCCGGGGGGATGCTGATTATCAGCAGGGCAGCTCCCCATTGGATCCGGCAGATGCTAAGAAGTCACTAAATACAACAGAGGATGGTGATAATTCCGCGGTTCTGAGCGGAGGGAAGCTTCTGGAGAGGAGAGGCGTAATTGGAAAAGCAACGCTCACCTTTACCCACAGTGAATAAAAGCAGAGTAACTGCACTAAGGAGGATAGCTACTGGCAGCTTCCTCTTGAATCTGCTGAGGTGCACAGGCCCTGTCTGTCGCTGTGGTTTTAGTGGGTCTGTGAATTCAGCAGTCCCAGCCACACCCGTGCTTGGGCAATAGCTTTGTAAAAACACACCTATACATCAATAAAGACAACGCATCTCCTCCTTCCAGGGGTGCCCATGGGAATGCGCCAATGTAAAGTCTGGGTATTGACTTCCCAGCGCCTTGATAGGGGCTGGAGGTCTCACTCACCGATCTAAGCCACAGCACCATGTACTAGGACATCCAGGTGCACCAAGACCAGGGACGAATGGGTCAATCTCAGTCATGTAGGTGCAAGAAGAGGATCCCTGCTCCTAACTCCAACCAGCATGATGAATGGATTGTGCATGCGGACAATCCCGTGGGAGCCTGTCTACAGAGGTGAGGCACTGGCAGTTCCCTGCATCACCAACAGGACACGAACCCTGTGGTGTGCAGATACAAGCCCATCATAAAGCCACTTTGCCACTGACTGCCCACAAGCCTGTGAAAAACCTGGTGTAAACGAAGCTCTAATTAGCTCAAGATGTGATACGTTCACATAAGAGATGCTTAAAAATCCCAAGACACAGAACAGAGATAGGGCAATGAGAGAGAGACCTTAGGATCGGTGCATCAAAGAAAGCAGGGCCATCAAACAGACAGTGGCTCAATGCACGGCAGAGTTTCAGAGCTCCAATGCAGGACACAGCTCTCGTTTGGCAGACAGGAGGTTTGAGACATTTGGCTTCTGTCAATAACTTTAAATACTTACAATGCATGCCGCAGAAAGTCCAAAAAATCTGCTGAGCTAGAAAGTTGAAGCATGTGCTCATTTAGAGTCATCGCTAACGAACAGCAGCAAGTTTTCTCCCTGAGACACAGGGCGGGGAGCGGTGAGCTATTACAGCAGAGCATGTCGCTTCCCACACCACCCCGCACGAAGCCGAGCTCACAGGGCTGTGGTCCTGAATCTGCTCCCTGCAGAGCCTCTGCTGGCTTTCCCAATAAACCAGGCAGAAAGAGGCAGCAAAGAGGGGAGAGAAGAGGGATGGTTTTGCCTGCAACTGGATGACTGGGGAAAAAATTGGCTTTTTTAAACCAAATCTTACTCTTGGAGCAGGCTGAGCTGGGCTGCCTGTGAAGTAAATGGGAACCACTGCAGGAGTCCAGAACCTGGGGCAACACCACTGCTCTGGCAGAGAAGAGGACATGTCCTGCCTCTTCAGCCTTCCCCCTTGCACCGTGCCTGCACCAGGAAGCTCAGAAGCCGCCCTGGTTACCACGTCCATCCCATTTAAAGCACCAAGCTGGATAATTCTTACCCATTTATCCCATCACCCTACCAGCTGCCTGTGAAAGAACAGCTGTAAGAGCTCGCTTTAGTAGCTGTGGGCGGCGATATTAACACCAGAGGAGCAAACCAAAGTTTGTTTTCTTGCTAGCCTGATGTTGGAAAACACTGTGCCAGGATGTGCGAGGCTGAGATCTGGAGCGAGGCCAGCTTCCTTTCAGACATTGGCGTTCATTCGCAGTCAAAGGAAGCCGATGCACATCTTCTACTGTGGAAGGGGGAAGAAAGCTTGGCATGGGATATAATAAAAATATTTACCTAGCCATAGGGTAGTTTACAGATAGGCAAGAGGGAACACGGAACAGCAGTGAATCTTCTGAGGGAGATGGTGCTTCCAGCAGAGAGTTGGTCGGTGAGCAAGCAACTTTGCTTTGTAGATGCAAGTGGTCTCCTGACTTAAAAGCATTCTTCAGCAGAGATCTAAAGGAATTCCCCATTCCTGGTGAATGCACTTGAACTGCAAGGGGAATTCATAAAGTCTTTTGAAGCAAAGCTGAAGGTTTTCAAGTTGCTGAAGCAGAGATGACTACTTGATTGATCTGAAAAGAGGTGAAGACCTGGGTGGGGAGTGCAGGGGTATTTTTTCCTGAATGGCCATCTGATGAAGGTCTGTGGCATGACTCAGGAAAGGCTCCTCCGGACTTCAGCACATACCCTGGGAGGGCTTGCTTTGTTCCAGCTTACCAAGTTCAACCCAGCCTAGCCATTCCGGGATGTGGTTCTACAAGGTACCAGACAAAGCTGGGAAATACATAGCCAGTTTTCTCCAGTAGCTGTAGAAGATATGTGTCATCTTGGTGGCTATGCTCCAAACTTTCAAGGGGAAAACTTGGGTTGGATTCAGCAGCTAGGCTAAGGTTTTGCTCTTCTCTGATCACACTTTGCTTCAGCTGCCTCTTCTTCATAGGCTCCCCCGTTCCCATACCACATCTCTCTGGAGAGCTCAGTTCTCCTTACTGGGCTACAGCTATCCTATAGATATCCCACCAGCTCCACACGGCTGCCCTCTATAGTGGTAACAAGTTAGGCTGCTTTTCTTTGCCTCTGAAATCCCAAGCAGTACTTTGGCTTTTCTTTCTATTGATGCCACCCTCACTAGCTCAGCCCCCATGCCCAGTGCCGTTTCAACCTAAGAGTGCCAGGCCCTCAAATTCCTCCACCACAAAACTCCAAAACCAAAAGCTCACCACATTAGGCAGAAAAGTAATACGCTTACTCTTCTGGGCTTGGTGTCTGCCTGCTAACACACATCTCTAGATGTGTGCAGAGAAACCGCGCTGCTCAAGGAACAAGGGTGCTGGCAAAGGTATCTTTTCCCTCCCTGGTCCTGAGGATGCTGGGGCACCCAGCTCTCTGCTAAATGCAGAGTGGCAGAAGAGCTGTTTCTAGTCACCCATTTCACACGTGGTCCCCAGCAGCTGTTCCAGCAGTGGTGGAGTCTCAGGATACCTCAAGTCCATTGAGGACTTATCCATGAACTTCCTTCCACGACACACTGGGATACCCTTGAATTATTTCTCTGTTTATGCTCCCCTCTTCCCAGAAAGAGCCAATAAAGAGTGAAGCAACAGAGAGGGCTTTTTGCAGACCCCCAGCCCTGAGCAGTCAAACTCTATGAGACTTTCTTTGCCGTCTCTTTGAACGTTTTCCATCCTTGCCTAGGTGTTTCTGATCTGGTCCTCTCACATAATTCACTTTTGCCAGCTGCCTCAAAACTGATTAAATGCCACTTTAGAGGGTCACTCCTAGATGATTA